AGAAATAATGCCATGGATTTTTCAAACATATTATTTATAACTAGCTAAGATCCGACCCATAAAAATATGGGTCTTTGTAAATCTATTCCAAACCAAACTTTCCTATACTTTTTCCTTATATATCCTAGTTTTCCGGAGCCTTTACCAATTTACATATCTATTCCTCACCGATTTTTACAATAACTATTCCTTATTTACTTCAATATTTTTTAGTAAAATAATTTATTCTGAAAAAAAACTATAACATTTTAATAATATATTATAATGGCAATACAGTATTTTGCTCGAATAATAGAGAATCATTCTAGATTTAGCAAAGAATAATAAAAATATTAAATAAAATGGTGATATAAAATTTTACTAATTGGAATTGCTATAAGCATAAAAGTTATTTAAAGTAACTCAATTTATGAGAAATAATGAAAAAAAGTTGGTTGATTAGAGATATTATTTAAATCTGTCAATTTAAAGCTACTTAACATAATTCTGGGATTACTAAGGGACTACAAAGGAACTGGAATTGTAAACTATTGAAAAACATCAATTGTAACACTTGTGCTACATGCTAGTTTTTTGATATATAAATTAAGCATCAAACATCTATTTTTGCAATAAGAGTTCTGGCATAAAAGATTTCTTGTTTGTTTCTGGAAAAATTAGAACTTTTGGATCAATAAAAAAAAAATGTTTTAGCTACTGGTAAAATGAAAACTAAGCTAAAAATTTTAACAATTGCAAGAACACCTCTTTGCTAGTAAGAGATGACTTAATCTGGAATCTAGATGTTTGCAGCATTCCAGAATCACAGATTATATATTGTATGAAAATAAAATATTGATATAGCTACACTTCTTAATTTCTTATAGCACAGCCCTTTTAAATCAAGATTTAAAAGGGCTGAGCTAACATATAATGAATATAATGCATATATGTGCTAACATATATGCATTATATGCCTACATTTGATAGCATATATGCATTATATGCATATATGTGCTAACATGTATATATTACAGGTAGACAGACCCTAAAAACCACATGATTTTTTTTTTGTCATATCTTTTGTACAAAATAAATAATTTAACTTTTTTTAGCTTTTTTATATGCTTTTATATGGTAAAAGTTCTTTTCCAGAACTTTTTTGAAATTAGTTTTAACTTTTCCATATTTTGGATAAGCTTGTTATATTAAATTTTACTTTATATAATACTTTGATTGCAAACGTATATTTTGGGAAAATACCAAAAGTACTATTTAAACCACATGATTGGGATCCCAAAAACCACAAGAATTATTTTGGTTTAAAAAAAAAATCTAAGTGATGTTACAAAAAATCAAGAATTAGAGTAGATTTGTAGTAGTTGTAACAATCTTTTTGATGATTATGAATTTATAATGAGATTTCATTTTACACTCTTGCATAGAGGACAGTTTTAGTTTAGTTTAGTGAATTTTTTGATAATATTCTATTTTTAGGCAAGTAAATAAGTATGAGTAACATCAACAAAAAATTCAAAAAACGCTTGCAAATGAAGTCACTAAATTCAAGTTCAATTGTTGAAGCACTTATAAAGCAAAAAGCAACATTAGAAAAAAACAAACAACTTGAAGTTGCTGTTAAATGGTGTAAAGAAAATAATCTAAGAGGACATAGCACAATTAAAAAAAGATGATTTCCACTTATGTAAGATTGTGAAACAACAAACCGTCGACTTGATGGGAAAATAGTCAATGGTCTTCAAAGACAGTACTGTACAATTCTCTTAGAGAAGAAAGAGATATTAATTGTTTTATACATTAGGAATAAAAATCTAGCAATGCAAGACATAAACAAAGCAGAACTAACAAAACTTGTCCTTGATGTTCTGAAAGGTAGACAGCAAATGCAAAAAATGCTTTGACAAAAAACAAGTATTTTTGTTTCTAATATATATTTTTAAAAGGTAGTAAAAGACAATATGGTAAGAAAAGATTGACTGTAGTTACAGGAGTTGTAGATAAATATGCTTTTTTTGTTTTAAAGCAAATAAAGTAAGCTTAACACTCTAGTGACAAGGAAATGTATCAATAAATAGAGCTCTTAATTTCACAAGAGAAATGGCATGTGTCCACCTTGGTATGAGTAAATACTGTATTTTTGATTGAATTTAGTAATATACACATATCTCATTTAAAATCTAACACAGAGCTACAATCTATGATTAGTTTATGTATTGTTAGTGTACTTTACATTCATTGGAAATAGTTCAAGCAAAACTGAGTTACTTATTGTTTTTCATGGTTGCCTTTAGTCGCTCTTGCAGAAGAATTGATCGAAGCTGGCATTATGACTGAAGCAGAACAAAAAGAGAGAAGAGTTTAGTCTGGAAATTGATATTGGGAGAATATCTAATCATAAAGAAACACCACAGTTCATCAATTTTGGTGTTGATGGTACTCCTGCTGGTCTTGTTATTTGCTGCAAAAGGGGAAACATGCTGTAAAATGATGAGAGAGCTGTGAATGCGTCACCATACATCCTCTATTATCATTTTTAGGTAGCTATCCCTTATAACTTTTTTTTCATAAATATTTATAATAGAGATTGAAAGGATGACATTGTATCATATTTCTTTGTAATTATAGGAGACCTATCAAGTATTCTTTGGTACTGTTGGAATAGCTAATCAAATGGTTCAACAGGAAGTTGTAGCAAATATTCAACATCTTCTGATAACAACATACAATTATGGTGAATCAGACCACAACTTGTTATTAGATAAGTATAAAGAGATTAATTTATATCTTATTGAAAAAAAGTGGCACAGCCAGTAGTTTGGCTTTCTGATGGGCACTGTTCACGCTTTAATTTTTTTAAAAGTTTTTACAATCAAAAAATATATGTATGTTCTTTACTAGGTACCACTGGTGTGGCCAGGCTAGGTACCACTGGTGTGACACAGACCAACTGGACAAAAACCTTCATCATGAGTATGATGGTATGAAAAAAAACATTTTTACTGATTTTAACTCACTAAATAAAGAAACTTTTATGATGTTCTTAGGATGTATTTAAAACAACTATTAAAAATTAAAAATTAAAAAATCTTGAATAAGCTCTCACAAGAGCTTATTCAAGAGCTGAGCAAGAAGACAACTTGAAGAAATCCCTGGCCTTACTGACAGTGCAGAAAGTTAAGCTAAAAATTTCTAAAGTCACTACAAGGGTTATGCAGGTTCACAGATCAATGAAAGAAAAAAAATTTGTTGGAGTTGGTGAAGGTAATTCAAGTTAATAAAAATCAAGAACTAAAAGATAAGGAAAAAAAAATGGAACAAAAAGAAACAAAGAGAAATATTTTAAGGTGTAAAAATAATTGTAACTGTGTGAGTGTGTGCCATACCATAAAAACTACAGTAATGCTCTTCTTGCCACAATGTACAAAGATCATTCTGCAAAAATTTATCTTGTAAAGTGGATGGAAACAGTAATGGAAGTGGATGCTACAGTAATCAACAATTACCTCAAACGTAAGGTTATTGAGTATAAAGTGATGGAGATACTAGCAATTAGAAGGAACACCAAGAAAGTGACCTCACATTTTTTATATCTATATTACCGATATGTGATATGAACATAATTTTGCTTAATCAATCAGTTGTTCAAATAATTCAATAGTCTCAAGGATGTACAAAAACAATTTTAAATTGTCTTAAAGACAAATATAAAGCTATATGTAATTTTTTTTACAAACAACTAATCTTTACTCGGTTGTTAATGGAAAAATAAATTTTAATATTGAGTTTTCGATCCGTAAATATATTTTTTTGTTAACGGACCATAAAAACCAAAGTAATACTGCATTGGTTAACTTAAAATATTTTAGCAACTGTTATTTTATTTTATTTCCTTTTGATTTTTTTGCAGATGTATGACTTAAATCTTTACAAAAAATTTTTGCAAACTTAAATGAAAATTTTAAGTTTTTATGGATTGGTAACTTTTTTGACTCATTTCAAAAAAGTTTTAAAATTTTTGAATAAAATATTCTAGTGTTTTTAGTATAACTTTCATAAAATTAATTTGGTTATTTTTAACAGTTTCCTAACAAAAAATCTTGTCAAATAAAAAAATTTATTTTGCTCCTTGATAAGTTTAATCTATGAGTTAAAGGTATTAATGTGAGCATATATATATATATATATATATATATATATATATATATATATATATATATATATATATATATAATATATATATATATATATATATATATATATATATATATATATATATATATATATATATATATATATATATATATATATATATATATATATTGAAATTTAAAAAAATTCAAAATTTAAAAAATTATAAAAACTAGTTAGTAATAAAAATAAATCTGCTTATATAATAAATTATAATCATCATAAATTATAGCCACCATAAATTATATCTATAGTAAATTATGGTCAACATAAACTATAGTCAGCAAAATTTATAATTATCATAAAATATAACCATCAAATAATGCAGTTTAAAAGTTATAAATCTAATAATTTATAGTCTTCATAAATTATCGTAATTATAACTAATGCCACCATAAATTATAGTTTATATGACTTAAATTCATCACAAGTTATGGTTATCATAAAGTCATCATCATCATCAAATTAAAACCATAAGTTATGGTCATAAATGATTTTAGTTATCATAAAATACAATTATCAAAAAATAATCAATAGATATAGTTGTCAAAAACATTTGAAAAAAAAAAATTCACCATTAATTATATCCACCATAAATTATCATCACCATAAATTATAGTCATTGTATAATATAAAAATTATAAATTATAGTTATCACAAAATATAAATATCATAAATTATAGTTATCACAAAATATAAATACCATAAATTATAGTTATCACAAAATATAAATATCATAAATTATAGTTATCTCAGAATATAAACATCATATTAATCACAAATTAGAGTTAATTGTAATCATTAAAAATTACCATCAAAAGGAGCTTTCGGCAACAACAGTAGTTTAGTCAATGGAACATGATTAGTAGTATCATCATCAAAGTGAATAAGATAACTTAAACAACCACGATTTCCTTTAATGGCAGCAACTTTTCCAGGATGATATCCTTTTACAGACTCTGATTTACTAGCAATAACTTTAAATAATTTTTTGACTTGGTATTCTTGAGGATTGATATTTAGTATAACAGCTGAAGGATCATCAATATCGTGATCAACATCTTCATTAATTTCGTAGAGTGAAACATACCATCGATTATCTTTAATCCTTTTAACAAATCCTTTATAGTAAAATCCATCTTTGTACCGAGCATATACACAAGCACCGAGACCAGGTGAACCAGCTTTATTGACAAAAGGTAAAACTCTTAGTTCTTCTGCAACATGGTATTTTTCAATGCAATCATAGTAAAATCTAATAAGATACTTGTTTATAGTATTTTTTTCGTGAGTTGGAGAAAACTCTTCAAAGTTATCTTCAATAAGTTCTTCAGCAACCTCTGGTTCACCATTCCAAATCTAAAATAAATAAAAAAAGTTTAAAAAAAAAAACTGTAATTTTTTTTTTTTACTTAAAACTTGGCAAAACTCTTACAGCAACAATTCTTGCAGTTTGCCACCCTTTCTCATGAGAGTGAAGAGCTAATACATTTACTCCAATCAACAATTCTGATTCTTTTGGGATCATATCTAGTACAACAGATGTATTATCAGCAACAGAGTGCTTAATTGAACCTTCTGGATAAAAATAAACTAAGTAGTGAGTATCTTTATTTGCTAAAAAGCCATTTAAATAACTTCCATTATCCATTCGTGCAAAAACAAAGCTACCAGCACTAAGAATGTGCTGTGGAGGTGTATTTAAATACCATAGTTTTTTTCCAGACACATCATTTATTTCCCAAAGTTTTGACATTGTTTTTTGCTTTTCTCTTGTTATCTCTATGTTTTCAGGCATTACAGTTTGACTCAAACAAGCTGATAAAGTATGAATTGTCTTAGGAGAAACATTGAGCTTTATAACAGAAGTGTAAATGCTCATTTGGGGTTTACTTTCTAAATTAGTGGAGCTATGGAAATTAATTGTATCCAAATATAACACTTTTGAGGTGTCAGAGCGATATTCTTTTTTAAACGCAGTTGAGAATACTTCAGTATTGCTAATTGATGCTATCATTTTTTGAGCATTTTGAAGCTGAAGGTATTGAAAAAAAACAGCAGTTGTAAAAAACAATGCATTGGTTTTTAGATTTCTAGCATCTGCTAAAAGAACAACCTGAGGATTATTTACTTTCAACTGAAAGCGCATTTCATAATTATTTGCTGAAGTTCCATGTATAGACTCTGTAGCATCTGACATAAGTGACACATTATCTTCATCAATAGAAGTAATGCTATGTGTATGAGATTCAGTAGTTTTCACATATTCGGTATCAGCTTTTGGAATTATTGCCAAAATAGTTTGCATAACTACCATGAGAAATTCAACATTTAAAATTGTCATTAAATTGTTCAAAGTAACATTCATATTTATATCTCCTTGGCTGGATTGCTGATAGTTTGCTTCTACCATAAATTTTTCCTGGCTGATAATTTGATTAACACGAGCATCAGTATGTCCAACCAAATAATCTTGACAGTAATCCATCATACATGTCAGAGAGTTGATACTTGATGGGCGCTTATCATAAAGCTGTAATGTTTCTAAGACAAAAAATATTGACATAGAATTGTCAGATAAAATTTTTCCAGTTACACCAAAATGTCCGATAGTAAATTGACTTAACATCAAAGCTATGTCACGTTCTAAAAACTCTTCCTCAAAAGTCATATCAGGAGGCTTCAAATACAGCTGTAAAATAACTTTTTCAAGATCAAATTTAAAAATAGTTTTTTCATAAACAATCACATTCTCAGGCTCTTCATTTATGTCTGCCATTCGATCATGTGTACCTTGCTTTCCTTTTGTTGAATTCAAAATGGAATCATCTTGTTCAGTTTCTTTAAACTGATCATTCAACTGTCCTTCTGCAATATTTCCTTGTATTATTTTAAATGCAACACTTATGTCTTCTTCACTAACAACAATAGTAATGGTTTGAAGAGATCCTTGTAATTCAATATCTGGAATACTATGATTTCCATTAGTTAGACTTCGTGCAAGATTGAGTTTAAGACTCATTGGTTCAATCAAAGCTCTATGAGCTACAACATTAATGCCACCTTTAATTAAAGCTTTTGAAAGTTTTAACTCAGATAACTTTATAATCATATTATCAACAATGACATAATCTTTTGGTCGCTTCTCTTTATTTATCAGTCTAAAGTTATTGTAAATAGAAAGCATACCTAGATCAATTACCAAAGCAAGTTCTGACAATGAATGAACAGGTACAATAATTAATGGAGCTTTTATTTTGATAATCATCTGATTTCTAGAGCTATGTTTCTGAAGTTGTGATACAGCAATAGTAGCTTTTTCTTTAGCAGCTGCACCTGCTTCTAAAATGGCTACCTTAGCACTTTCAAAATTATCCAAAAAAGAATAAACATCCATCACAAAACGATTTAAAAAAACAGCTCTAATTTGACCAACATCAAGTTTAATTAAAAGATCAACTGCAGACATGTTATAAAGGTTTGTACCAATGGTAGCATCATTAAAAACAACAACTTCAATGTCAAAAACTTGGTCACTTTGCATGGAGAGTATCTTTGAAAAATTAGTTTCTCCAACTTTATCCTCAACCAGTAAATCTGACATATTTGCTTTAACTTCTATTTTTGAGTCTTGCATTAATACATTAGCTGAAAAGCCTTTCATTGTTAAATGTGCTAGATCTACCTTAGATGAGCAAACTAAAACATCTAAACCATCCATGTAAGCAGTAACTTTCATCTTTATTTCCTCTTGCATACCAACTTTATTTTTAAGCTCTTCTTTAGCAGCTGCAGCCTCCTTATTAACAGCAACTTTAGACTTCAAGCTCTCCTCAATGAATAGATTAAATGTACTACCAGTTGAGGATAAACTCTTTTTAAGAGTGTTTGTTGGAACTGATTGATCAGCTAGCTGTAAAGGCTCTAGAATTTGAGTGAGGAGTGTTGTTAAACTAAGCAGAGCTTCTTGATGTATTATAACATAAAACATAGCTATTCTTACATCAATTATTTGTTGTGTAGACTGAAATTCATCTCTAAATTGAAGAGCTCGAAGTTGTGCTTCTTGAGAATAAAAATAACTAGGTCCAAGCGTTAAAGACTGGTCAAACTCGCACCTTCGATAAGATAGTTTTAACATATTTGCATTATCAGGTGTATAAAACAGTTCTAAAGGTTTTCCTTTTTTACCCCATTTCATTTCTTTTAAAACAAACTGCCCAACTGTTGCATTAACAAACATGTCCCAACGTCTTAAAAGTACCTCTGCTGAAATGTTATGAATATACATCTCAACACATTCTTCCTCATTTTGGGTAATTTTGTCGGTGAGTGAAATTGAAAACTTTATCTTTTGAACCACAAAATTCAATTCTATTTTGATTTGATTAGCTATTCCTGATGAAAACTGAGGTTCTGAACCACTAAAACAGAAAAAAATTAACATAACCAACATAAACTAATTATTGTCAATACTAATGCATCAGGGAAAACAAAGGAAAAAAAAATTTAGAGTCATCTTTTGTCATTATGTTATTTATAGGCTAATTGCATTTTATATTGGTTTTTTGATCACCTTTGTAGGTGCATAAATAAATTTATAGTGTGAACAAGAGCCAATATCAAATTAAATTAATCAAGATAAATAGATAGTGGATAATAGATAAATGTCAGCACAGTTGAAAAAAAACTTATAACTTAAGCTTTAAATTAGTAATTATTTAAATATTAATTAATAAATATTTTTGAATTTCTTGCATATACAATAGCCATGACAAACAAGTTACAATTGCCTAAAGACAAAAATTATAAACTGCCTAAATACCTTATGAGTTTAAAAAAAAAAAAAATTAACACTAAAATACATTGAAGTTGTCTTATTTTAAATTGTGTTTGTTAAAGGACAAATTTTTTAAAAAATTTCTCCAGAAAAGTGTTTAATAATACAAAATTTGATAGACAAAAAAATTGATAGTGATCAATACCAGACAATCAGTTTACCAGTAAATCTATTACTTTAAGTAAATCCAATATTTTTTAACTCTAATCCACTCTAAATTAGGCTGCAAGCAACCACTATTAAATAGGGAGTATTAGAAAACAAAGAATAGAATTAAAGGGCAAGGAAATTGTTAACAAATGACTTGAAAAGTTACAAGTTTTATGAGCCAGGAAAACATGAAAATGAGAGAGAGTTTTAAAGATTGAAGTGCAGGTAAAAAAACTAGAAAAATAAAAGTTTTTAAAGCAAAAAGGGAATAACGGGTGAATAACAGGTCATTTTTGTCTATCTAATTTAAGCGCTACATTTATGAGCACACTTATCAAACAACATTTTTTTCTGCTATACTTATGACTGAACTGGGCAGATGCTCATAATATGGTAATCTTATCAGCAAAAAAATATAACACAAAATGTAATTTTTTTTATCAAATCTGATTGTACTCCATCAAAACACACTTTAATAAGATTAATCAAGAAGCAAAAAATTTAAAAAACAGCTTAAATTTATCTTAAATTTAAACAGCCTTTTGTATGTATCCTGTACCAAAATACCACTTGCTGCATCAATGTCACCAAAACAATCTTAATTCAAGTAATCAGTAAATATTTCTTCATAAATAAATATTTTAGATGCATGATTATATAAAATGGTTAAACTTTTGAAAACACCCACATCAACCATAAACAATTAGAGGAATAGACCCAAGTACATCTGATACATTAAATAAAATTTAAATTACATCAAACATAATTAATTAATCAGTTATCTAAGGGGTCATATATAAAGTGCGTACGCCAAAATTTAAAAATTTGACCCCCCACCCTCTTCCCTGTTGTTATGCATACTTTTAAGTCCTCCCAATATCAATATTATGATATCAATAAGAAATAGATGTTACATAAATATTAATGTCCACTCTGACAAAGAATTTTGGAATCTAGGATTAATTAGTGCTTTTGGAACAATTCCTGCAAAAAAATGTGTTAAGCTTGTCAATGATAGATTAGGTAATTTTAAGCTTTCGATCAAGAATATTGTAGGTATTACCACTGATGGTGCAGTTATGACAAATGTAGCAGTTATGACAAATGTAGCAGGTTATGATAAATGCTGCAGTTATGACAAATGTACCAGGTTAATTAAAGCACATCAGCAGCTATGTTTAGTGCATTATTAGGTATTTCGTAGAGTACGTCGATAACAGTTGGCTGTTTTTGGCGTACTCTACAAAAAACCTAATAATGAGGATAGTCTGCATAATGAAGATGCCAACGTTACATCCACAGATAAAAACAATTTAATTGATGAAGATTATGAAAATGAAAATGGTTTACTCATTATCTCCACTGAAAATGATGATGATAATTCTTCTTTTCTGGTACATCAGCAAATGTTACCATTAACTAAAAAAGTTGGAAAAGCAGTCAAAATATTTTGTTCTTCGCTCATCAAAATATTTTGTTCTTTCGTTCTTCAAAAAATGACAAAATCCTACAAAAAAATGCAAAAGAAGAGTTCAGGAAAGAACTCTTGTCTCTCGTTTAATGTCTATGATAGAACGTTTTGTTAAATTAAAAAATTGCATCAAAAAGTGTCTAATAGATTTAAAATCACCTATTTTGTTTTCAGATGCAGAGTTTGAAATGTTGTCAAATATCCTTTCAGTTTTACTTCCTATTAAGCTTACAGTTGAAGCAATCTGCCGACAAGATGCAACTTTGTTATCTGCAGATGTTGCTATTCAATTTATGATGAAATCAATAACTGGCCATCTATGTTCATTAAGTTATGAATTGAAAGCAGCTTTAAAAGTACGTATTCTTGAAAGACGAACAGAAATTTCAAGTGTTTTGCAATATTTACACAATCCAGACTTCAATGAAAATCCAAGTGATGATGAAACCGATAGAGATTATGAATTATTTCCAAATTATTATCAAAGTTATCATTTTACAGATACAACATCTGGATGAGGTCTAACTTGCATTATGAAGCTGCACCTGTAGCAACAACATCTACTTCAGCCAACATTTCAAATTCAGACACAAATATAATATTTAATGTCAATGATGAAGAAGTTGATCAAAGAAATGAAATTTCCCTAATTTAAAAGAAAAGTTAGAGATAGCAATATCAAAAAAAATTTGCACCAGATTACCTGAGAGTGGAATCAACCGAAACAAAAAAGATCTTACACGCTCAATAAAAAATGTCATTTTTTGAGGCAAATGGCACTAGAGGCAAATACTTAACTTTAATATATAATTATTTGCTAAGTATTCAACCAACCAGTGTAGAATCAAAGAGAGCTTTTTCAGTAGCTGGCCTAATCTGCTCTAGAATTGGGTCATAGATTGGATATAATTCGCTTAACAATCTATGTTTTCTGAGGTCTTATATTAACAACCAACTGCAGAAAAAGTAGAACCTTAAAAATTTTTGTTTCCGTCCTTTTTTTATGATTAATATATAACTAACATTTTACTGAATTTTGTTTTTCTTTTTTTATTCTTTAAATAAATTAATATAGTCTTTTTTAATTGCCAAACCATTTTTTAATTATATTATTTATTCATTCGTATTATTATAAGAAAAATAATAATACCGGTATTAATACCGGAATCCCGGGATTAGAAATTTTCAAAACCAAAATATTGGTATTTGATTTTAAGTCTGGTATTTCCAACCCTATCTATAACTTATATCTAGAATACATTCAAAACATCAAATTAAACTGACTGTTTGACCATCAATCATTGTAAACATTAGGTCAAAGCTAAGTGCAAGTACAAGCTGCTTTTCACTCTTTGGTTTCCTTATTTCTAAATTAATAAGCAATCCACCCTCCTCAAGCAAATCAATTTGCTTTTCAAAGTACTCTTTTTTTTATCTTAAAACTAATAAGTTTTCAGAAATATACTTAATTCTTAGTGGACGGCAAAATCACGGCAAAAGAAGACACTTGATTTTCCAAATTGTTTTAATACTTATATGTCATTACATTTGTTAATGTGGAACTAGACAAGTAGAAAATAAATTTTTATCAGGCATTAAATTGTTGTAATTATCTTTATTGTTTCTTTTGGGTGAAAAATCTTTGTTTGTACTGACTCTGGCTGCTTGAATCATCAAAGCCCCATATGCAATACAAAACCATGTCTAAACAGAATTTAAGAGAATCAAGTTGCAAGACTTTGTTTTCGACAGTAGTTTGTTGAAACGTTTTATAAACGGTATGATATAATTTTATCAATTCTTACAACTCTTTTAGTGGAACTTTGCCACTTATTAAATTGTCATCTATATAAATGCTACCCGTATAGCACAACTTTTTTTGTCAAGAACATCGTTATATGTAGGATATATATTTGCATTACAACTAAATGATATATATGTAGGATAAATATTTGTATTACAACTGCACTTTCGATAAATTCATAGCTATCATTAATGCTAATCCTTCTAATGGCATATTTTTCACCATTTGCTTGTTTTTACCCTCAATAAAACATTTTATTTCATTTGCTGATTCTCTGCTTAATAAGCATTTCTTTAACACATACAACAAACTATATAACACTTTTTCTTTTTCAATCTCATTTCAGTTGCTTTTAAGATTTTATTGTGATCATAATCTACTTACAATATGGATGCGCGTCTACGTTTACTACAGTAGAACATATTTTCATACTTAATGAATGGCCTTTTAAATGATTTTTCATTTAAATATATATAAGAAACATTTAAATTAGCAATTTGTGATGAATGTGCGCTAGTTTGTTAGATAATTGGCAACAGTTTCTTATTAAGCCAAGAGGACTTGCCAGTTAAAAATTTGCTTTTACTTTGATAACATTCTTTGCTAAATTTGGATCAACATTTGCATATAAAATTTAAAATAGCTTTTTTAAAACAATTAAAATCATCATTTAAATTGATCAAATTTTAATTTAAAGTTTAATTCCATTTCCAAAATACTTGTATATTGATCTACTATTTGGCTTGATTTAAGTTGTGAAGAAATGATGTTTAAAATTTTTTTAAACACTTAAGTTCTGTTATATTACAAACATTTCTAAACAATTTAAAAGATATCTTTATAAAATGATTTAATAATGCTACTTCAAGAGATAATTAAAATATTTATAATTTAGCTGAAAATTTATTCAATTATTTTTACTATTTTCGCAAAATAATTTTAATATAACTACTGCAATTATAAATTATTTAGTCTTTAATTTTTTTCAAATTTCAAATTTCTATGAAAAAAATTTTTTTTAACGTTACAGCATTGCAAAATAAAAAAGTGGTTAGTCTAAAAACTTGAAATTTTGAAATTTATTTAAAGTCCAATTAATTGATAGACGCAGTTGATATTATATACTAGTATTAAACAACCTGTTTAATACTAAACCTTTCTAAAAAGCTTAAAAAGTTGTCAATTTTGAACTCAAAAATATATCATACGTGGACGCAGCTGGTTTTAAAGGATACGTGGACATAGCTGGTTTTAAAGGATACGGACGCAGCTGGTCTGCGTCTGTATGCAAAAATATGAAACAATCTTTGAATGGCATTTACAACAAGGAAGAAGCTAAAATTTTGAAAAACATCTGAAAATGAACAACAATTTTCAAAAAAATTATGATTTGTGATGATGAATAAATTAAATATAATTAACTAAAAAATGAATTTGTTTATAGCACAATGTTAATATGTTTATTTAAATAAAATTGTCTGAAGCTTTGTTAATTCAATAAAGTTATGCAGATTTTAAGGGTTTTTCAAAAATATGTCAACCTGGTACTCAAATAAAGCGAAATATATATATATATATATATATATATATATATATATATATATATATATATATATATATATATATATCAGGACCTATTCTAGGAAAAAAATTTGAGCGGCAGTAGCCCTCTCCCCCCCCCCCCCTGTAAAAAAATACGTAAAAAAAAAAAAAAAGGTCCTCAAATTTTAATTTGGGCTACGGCCAAATAGATGCCCAAATATGGTTGACGCTGTCGAAAACGGTCTAGAATAGTCCCTGTATATGAATATATATACATGCATATGAACATATATATATGTGCATAAGTATATATTTATTTTATATTATATATTTATTTTATATTATATACATATATATATATATATATATATATATATATATATATATATATATATATATATATATATATATATATATATATATATATATATATATATATATATATATATATATATATATATATATATATATATATATATATATGTATAAATATATTCTTCCTTCATCTTGCTTTCCTGATTCATATAATTTGCAATCTTTTAAGTCATCAGTCAATCGTTATCTTGCTCTACAGATTTAGTCTTTTCTCTTCCAGTAACTTCCAACTCTTATAGTGGTTGCTTGCAGCCTTGTTGGAAGTGAAGATGTTAAAAAAAAAAAAAAAAAAAATATATAAAAATTTATATGTGTGTATGTATATATATATATATGTAATAAAAAATCCTAGCCTTTGCTAATAACCTCTGCTAGAATTATTTTTTGGTTGGGGCACTAGGAAGTGGCCGAGGCTGATGCCTAGGCCCTGTTCACTTTCAAGTGCTTATATGAATCAGGGTGTATGTCTGTATATGAGTTGTTTTTTATATGCCAAAGTGTTTTTTATCTCCCAAAGTTATTGGGTTAGCCAGAGAATGGCTGACTCAATCACTAAATCATTCAACAGATGATCAAAGTTACTTTGATCATTTGTTGAATGATTTCAAAGTTCAAAGATACCACTTACTTGTTAATATAATTAATGTGTAAATTATTCTGATAATCACCTAAAATTGTAAAAAATTATAAAAACGAATAAAAAAGCAATTCAGAATATGATTAAAAAAAATTTCAGAAATTTATTTGCTTTTATACCTCAATAAACAACATAAAAATTTGAAATTATTAATTATTATAATTATTACTATGGAAAAAGAACAAGATAACCAGATTGCCTTTTTAGATGTAATTATTAGATATTAAGATGTACTTATGAAAAAATCCAATTTATTTTCGACTTCAGTTTATCACAAAAAAACATATACAGGTCTTTTACATTGTTTGATTGATCGTACATTTAAAATTAATAATACTTGGGTTGGTTTTGATAAAGATATTAAGAATCTATCATTTTTACAAAATAATAAATTTCCACAAAAAATTATTGACTCAGAAATTAAATCCTATATTGATAAGAAAATGAACCCATCTGTTTCTAACATTGTTAATAGCTTAAATATAAGATACTTTAGGCTGCCATTCATTAGAATGTACTCTATTTTATATACTAAAATAAAAATTTCAAAAATTATTCATAAATATTGCAAGAATGCTCTATTAAAATTAATTTTCACTACTAATAAAATACAAGATTGTTTTTGCTTAAAAGAGTCATTTCCTAAACTGCTTTAATCTCATGTTGTCTATAAATTTTCTTGTGCTGGCTGTAATGCCAGTTATATTGGAGAAACTTCCAGACATTTGGCAATTAAAATAAATGACCATCTTATAAGTGATAAACAATCTCATATATTTAAACACTTAAATTTATCTATTAATTGTAAAAACCTGGCAAACTGTGCTTCTTTTTCAAAAATCTGGCAAAATGTGTTAACAATTATAAAAATCTGGTACTATTCTACTACTAAATACTATTTTCAAATGTGCTAACAATTTCAAAAATCTAACTGTGCTTCAAAAATGGCTAACTGTGATTCTTTTGAGATTTTGGATAATGCCCAAACCAAACACAAATTAAAGATAAAGAAGCCCTCCCTATTAAATGGGAAAGTCCCTCATTTAATAAACAAACTTCATATTATGCTATAAATTTATCTATTTAATTTTACTGTCAGTTTATTATTATTATTTTTTTTGACAATTAGTTATTTTGATTGGTTATTTACCGATTTATTTTGTAATAAATATATTGGTTCATTATGTATATTTTTGTCTGTTATTATTTCTCTGTAAAGACTTTTATATTTTAATATTTATTTCAGAGTTTTATTATTGTAAAATAATCTTTTGAAAATGTAAATAAATTTTACATTTTCAAAAGTAATAATTACTTATTTTATGTTATTACGACGATCACAAAATATATATATATATATATATATATATATATATATATATATATATATATATATATATATATATATATATATATATATATATATATATATATATATATATATGTGTATATATATGTGTATATATATATATATATATATATATATATATATATATATATATATATATATATATATATATATATATATATATATATTGTATGTCCAAATAAGTATATTTATAAGTTAATATTATTAAATGTTATCAAGAAAAAAGTTATACATACACATCATTTAAAGACAAAACTGAACACTCTGGTGGAGTGTGGAACTGTGAGCTGTCATCATCCTCATTCTGTATGCTTGGTGAAATTGGAATTCCAACTAATGTTTCACTCGGCACAGATAAAGTTTGCTTAGAATATGGTTGAGCCTTTAAAGAGTAAAATTTTAATTGTAACAAAAAAGTTAAACCTACACACACACACACACACACACACACACACACACACACACACACACACACACACAAATGTCTAACAAATTTTTTTTGACTTTTTTGTTTGAGAAAAACAAAAAGCTGAAAGAACGGCTCCATTGTTAATTTTCTTGCAATCATTTACATGATTGTTGAATCTATCTGTTGAATTGCCAGTTAAAGAAACTGGAAATAATCCCAGTTTCATATTTGTGTGGTTTCTTAAATTTGGTTTGTTTTTTCAGTACGAGTAAATAGTCCATTACATGATAAACATTTTAGATAAGAAATGACATTTTTGCTATTACATGTAATGTGACTTTTAAGTTTTCAAATAGTGCAATTGCATATTTCAAATTTATCTACTTCTTGTAAATTTATCCGGCATTGACTGTTTTTACATTTGAATAGTCACTTATTTTTGAAAGATAATGTAGAGTAAAACTTTGAGACATTATTTGTCTCACTTATTTTGGTGGCTGTTTGTAAGTAATTATTGGTTGAATAATTGAAAAAATTTTTACTCTTTCATTATCAGATAAAAGTTAAAGGTTGATTTCAGTTAAAACTGGTTGGCAGTTTAAATTGCTACAGAAAGTAGTCACTAAAGCGAAAACCTCTTTTGATTGTTTTATTGACGCTGGTTCTTGTAAATTTGCATTATGAAATTTTGTTACTACATAATCAGAGTAATGACTTTTTCTTTTAACTTTTAACTTTTTATTTTCTTTTAATGTATGTTCTTTAAGGTATGTTCTTTTAAGGTATGTTCTTTAAGGTATGTTCTTTTTATATGATACGGGTGATGACTGTTGAAGTTAAAATAGTCATAAGTGATTGTTTCTTTGTAAAATATATCCATTTTAATTTATTTGTTGTTTTCAAGGATAACTGATATATCTAGAAAACTAGCTACATATATATTAACTAACAACATATATATTATTGATTTTGGCATCAAGTTCAAAAAGTACAATAAAATATATAAAGTATATATTTTTCTGTTCTCTTTGAACTCGATGTCAAAATAAATTGTAAAATTAATTGAATCATGCAATTCTGTAAGGGACATTTGGAACTTAGCAATATCTAGACATTTTGGCAATATGTCGAAACCATCATCAATATATCTAAAATAAAACTATTCAATAATTTTAACTTCTTCTTTTGAAAAATATTATAGAAAGATTTTTGGAAAAAGCATTGTTTCTTTTAAAAAACTAATTTGTAAGACAAGCATAGTCTGGTACAAAATCTGCACCTGTGGCTGTTTCTATATTTTGGCAAAACAATTGATTCTCAAAGTAGAAATTGTTGATTTAAAGAATGAAAGATGATAAAATCAGTGGTGAATCTTTCAGCTATAAAATTTTTGTGTTTTTCAACCCATAATTTTAATGCTTGTAGACAAATATTATGTGGAATGCTTGTATAGAGATTTATAAGTTAGTGTAACACTATCTGAACCCATTATTCTAGAAATTTTTCTCAAAAATTCCTAATCATCTTTTGCAAAAGTCTTCTGTTTCTTTAGATTAAGTTAAGTTTCATTACAATAGGTCAGGTCAGGTCAGGTTATCCTGCTACTAGTAATGTAACCAAGTATAACCTGTTTCACATCCTGCTGCCTTGTAGGATATGTTTTTTTTAGGCAAAGGCTAGGAGATGCCAATTATGACTTTAAACACCCCCTGCCTTGGGACTCTTTGTTGACTAAAGGCTAAAGATAGTGGCTTGATTAAGTCTTGTAGAAGGCCTTCTAAGCAAAGATTTAAGGGGTAAACAAATTCTATCTGTTGACCAGCTTCATACCCCTCCTTCATATATTAGGCTGGCGCAAATGTATTTATAACATAATGTTAGCAGTTTAGGATGCTGAATGCTGGATCTTCTTGATTCATTGCATGAGTTTTGCTTGTGTCTCTGTTTTAATGATTAGGCAACTCATTTTATTATCTCCTAATGAGAGTACAGCTCTAAAACTCGGTTTTATGGTTTTAAGGCTGGCTGGAAGTCAGGTTTTCCAAACTCTATGGTAGCTTCCAGAGGGCTGATTTCATCAACAACTGTACTAACAGTGCCATGTTGCACATGGATGGTGTCCCTGTTCATACCTTTGGTATGCATTGTCAACACCACATTTGGAGCTTTTTGTTATGGTTTAGGGTTTATTTAAAAGTAATGAGGTAATTGCTTGGACTGTTACATAGTGTACTGAGTGTCATCTGTGCTGTAAGTCAAGTTCTTTAACCAATTTAAAAAAAGACAGTATCAAAAAAGTATCAAAAACTATTAAACACAAAAAACCATTAACACCACCAAATTCTCTAAATATACCATTCACCAATATTTGTGGTCTTCAAAGTAACTTTTTCTTCTGTTGAGCCTTATTTCTTGCAAAGTTCACCAGACCTTTTTGCTCTTTGTGAGACTAATTTGAGTTCCGCTGCCTTCATCTTGTGATATAAGTGTTAATACTTTTCCTCCTTAAATTTGTAAAAACTCTACTAGCCACATGCTTGGCCAGGGCATTTACAACATTTACCCTTAGGTGCTTCCTTATCACAGTTTGATCTCTCTAAAACTATTATCTCATTCTTTTTCTTCACCAGAATCCGCTTATCATGGTACCTTTTACAACTACCTTAAAGCTGACTGGGACTATTTTCATGATTTTTTTTGTGATGGCCCTTGAGCAGAAGTCATTTGTCTTTCTGCTGACGAATGTGCTTTTTATGTAACTTCTTGGATTCAGGCAGAAATGGAATCTTTTATCCCATTACCATTTATTTTTGTCTTGATAGAAAACCAAAAACCTTTAATTGTTTGGAGGGAGCACTTGAACTTAAAAAAGATCTCACTTCTGCTCAGCATGGGGCTCTAAGTGGCTGGTGAACTTTAACTCAGAAAAAACTCAAATTTTTTCAGCTAATTTTTATTGCAATAGTCTAGATCTTCCTATATTTATGAACTGTAATGCACAAGATGAGTCATTTACCCTTTATCTTTTAGGATTAACTCTTACTTCCAATCTTTTTTGGAAACTATATATCAAATCCATTGCAAAATTAGCATCTGCTAAGGTTGCATCTCTTTATCGTGCTTGCTACTTTCTCACTCAAGATTCTATTCTTTATCTCTATAAATCTCAAATCCGCCTTTGAATATATTGTTGCCATATCTGAAGCATAATTTTTGAATGATGTCCTTTCTCTTTTAGACAAGGTGCAAAAATGTGTTGTAAACATAGTTGGACCTGCTATTACAGCTAACTTTTTACCATTTTCACATCATCATAATATTGCTTTTCTTTCTCTTTTCTATAAATACTATAACAAGTACTGCTCTAAAGAGCTAGTGTCTCTTGTGCCATCTACTAAAATTCATTCTCATGTTACACGCTACTCCTTTAAGTCTCATCCTTTTATGGTGACTGTTTTGAAAAAAGTGAAGTGCTTCGAAAATTCATATTCATCTAGTTTTTAACCATCATCATCAAATTCCATCATCGTCAAAACATCAAATTTTTTGAATTTGCTCCATTAATCTTGTTTCCTGATTCATATTATTTACAATCTTTTAAGTTGTCTGTAAATCATTATCTTGCTTTATAAACTTCACCTTTTCTCTTTCCATAATTTCCAACTCTAATAGTGTTAGCTTGCAGTCTTGTGGAAGTGAAGATGCTTAAATCAAAATAAGATTATGCGAAGAAACTAGCTTAAATGTTATGTTGATGAATCTATGCCATAAATAATGTCCCAATCTTTTAAATCAATTAATTGTTTCATTTCGATAAATAGAGAGCTAGATTCTTGAACCTTTTCGATAATTTTATTACTTTTATGAATTTTAAAGATTAGATAAAAAGTACTAGATTTCCATTAAAAATTAGTGATGTAGTCAATTTTGTTTTGAGGTAAAAAATTTATGTTCTGCAATCATTTTTTAAAGATTTTTGAAAACTTTTATCAGAGTCAGTATTTGTTTTTTCATATGTAGTTAAGAAAAAAATAGCTGATCTTGATTAACTAGTTTGTCTTTATAGTATGTTGAATTCATTATAACTATGGTGTTACTTTTTGTATGGTTTTTTTAATAACATTTTTTTCTTTTTTATTTCTCTCTTTCTTTGAGCTCTTTTAGAGCAATCTTTTCCTTTCATCAAAATGCTTTCAACTGATTTAATTTTTATTGGATTTACTTGCATAATTTTTGATATTATTTCATCATGTTCAAGTAGACTTGTTTTAACATTATATTTCTTTTTTACTATACTAATATCATTGTGATTCATAGAATTTTTCTTTTAATCTAAGTTTTTGTGTGAACTGCCTAATGTCAGATTTTATATGACAAAATTTTATTATTGTTGTTGGACAGAATTTGGGTCCTTTTGTCAGTAGTGGTATTTGGGTGATCAGATGCTTGGTGGATAAGTTGACAATCTTAGGTTGTATTTTTTTGGTATTGTGTTTATCCAGTTTTTTGAAAATAAAATCCCCCAGCAGCAGGCTATTTCAGTATGATGTCAGAGTGCTTATCTAAACACGTTGGACAAGTTATACCTATCCAACAACAATAATTTTGTACATTTTCTAACTATTTAAAAAAAAGAATTACTATTGTAATATTTGCATATACTAAAGTTTCGGACTATTTTATGCTACAAGAAAAATCATCACGAGGCAATTTATTAGCTTTGTTAGGAGAAGTGAGTGAAAAATTTTACTCAGATTGCATTGTGCCAACTGTAAAGCATCCATTATATTCAAGGTACTGGAAGGCTGTAAAAGAGACAATGAGACAAGATCAGTATTGGGAAATTCTTAATGATAGACTAATACCACAGTTGGCACAATGGCTCCCAAATGATGAAAAACTGGATTTTTGTTGCATAATGGAGCACTATGTTACAAGGCTAAAACTATTCCAAAGTTTGTGAAAAAAATAAATATTAATGTCTTGGATTGACCTGGAAATTCTCTAGATCTAAATCCGATTGAAAATGTTAAGGAACTGTTCAAGCCAAATGAATGTATGGAGAATGTATAGGAACTGTTTAAGCCAAATGAATGTATGGGAGAATGTATAGGAACTGTTCAAGCCAAATGAATGTATGGGAGAATGAATAGGAACTGTTCAGGAAGGAAATGGCCAAATATGCACAATAATAATGAAGCAGAAGTTGATTGAAAAACAAATATATGTGTGGAACCACAGTGAAGAGCTGCAAACAACCGCTAAAAAGTGTATTTTGAGTATGCCACGGCGTGTACAAACGGTAATTGCAGCAAAGTGATATCATAAAAAATATTAACTATTTAACTCTTGTGATTTTTTAAAATTAGTTTTCATTATTATCTGTTTAATTTATGCATTTGTTTTTGAAAAAACATTGACTTTAATTTATCTATAGTCAAATATCCTTAAATGATAAAAAATTGTTTGTGATAATCATATTTACAACGTAATTTTGTTTTTTCTTGTTAAGTCTATTTATATGGCAAGCTACTGTACTTTAAATATGTTAACTGGATACCTAAAATAGTCCTGACTCTTTTAAGACAACATTTAGATACCTGTGTTTTATGACAACATTTAGATACCTGTGTTTTATGACAACATTTAGATACCTGTGTTTTATGACAACATTTAGATACCTGTGTTTTAAGACAACATTTAGATACCTGTGTTTTATGACAACATTTAGATACCTGTGTTTTATGACAACATTTAGATACCTGTGTTTTAAGACAACATTTAGATACCTGTGTTTTATGACAACATTTAGATACCTGTGTTTTAAGACAACATTTAGATACCTGTGTTTTATGACAACATTTAGATACCTGTGTTTTATGACAACATTTAGATACCTGTGTTTTAAGACAACATTTAGATACCTGTGTTTTAAGACAACATTTAGATACCTGTGTTTTATGACAACATTTAGATACCTGTGTTTTATGACAACATTTAGATACCTGTGTTTTAAGACAACATTTAGATACCTGTGTTTTAAGACAACATTTAGATACCTGTGTTTTATGACAACATTTAGATACCTGTGTTTTAAGACAACATTTAGATACCTGTGGCAGTAAAATTATATTTTTAAGTTTGTGCTGTTCATTAGAATTTAAAAACTTTTAGCAAATTGATAAAAAAAATTAAATCAAATATAATGCATGCATGGACCACACTTGAAGTAATAATAATTATAGTTATTAATATCTAATTTTAAAGACACACAAATGTACACTCACATATATACACACAATCAACATAAATTTAACACTTCTTTAGAATAAAAAGATTTAAATATACTCACAGGTTTTATATCAGTAAGAGGATCATCAGCTTTTATTATTTTTGGTAGGCTATCTAACAACTAGTAATTAAAATATTAAACAGTCAATAAAAAATAAAATACTTTGGTAGAGTATCTAACAGCAGTAATTAAAATATTGAACAGTCAATAAAAAATGAAATTAAACTGTTTTGTACTAAGTCAAACACTTTATTACTATACCTTAACAGTACGACTGATTTTATTATCTGATACAGCAAGCTCAAGACTTGACAACTCTCCACAAATGCTCATTCTGAAAGAAAATTAAACCTTATATATTGAAACAACAGAGTAATTCTTTTTTTTTTATAATCTTCCTAATAAAATAAGGAGTAACAATAGAAAGCATATGAAAATAAAAATTTATAATTATTATTGATGCAGAAGGCATTAAAGGCATTTAAAATGCTAAAATATAAAATATGAATATGCTTAATAATTAATAAAACACTTATTTATATAAATTTCATATATTAGTTTATATAAAAAAACAACCAAAAGCAGAAGCAAAGATGCTAAAACAATGATGATAATGATGATGATGATGATGATGATGATGATGATGATGATGATGATGATGATGATGATGATGATGATGATGATGATGATGATGATGATGATGGAAATATTTTTTTATTTAACTTGGAGAAGCTTTTAATTAAATACAAATTTTTTTTAGTTCTTTAACTTTCAAACTAACAATCTTCATAACAAATTAATAATAAACTAATAATAAACAACAAATTAATAAACTAATAAACTTCTTTAATTTTAAAAAATAAACTTTAACTATTATTAGTTCTTTTAAAAGTAGCAAAATGTTTTACATATTCAATAAATTTACTCTTAACATACTGCTTAAGACGTGGATCATTTGGTATTATTGATTTAGCAATACTTCCTTCAAAAGAAACTGGATAAAGCACATGAAGTTTGGAAGATGAATCTTGTCTTGCAATTTGAAAATTCTCTCCTTAAAGAACAATTAAAACATTAAAACTATAAAACCAAAAATAAATAAATAACAGGGTTATAAAGTGTGCAGGGTGCAGGGTGCAGGGTGGTAGGGAGATGTAAACTGATTTATTTATTTTTTAGCTACTTAGAAAAAATATGAATAGTAAAACCAATGTTTTTATGAAGTAAATTACCATGAAATAATGATTGGATATCAAACTAATTGAATCAATGATTGAACAACAAACTACTGTGAAATAATGATTGGACATCAGTTATAATAAATTTCATAAACAAAAATTCATAAAGTGTCTAAAGCGCATCTGTTTAGTGAGGTAATGTGAGTCTATGCTGCATATTTCTAAATTTTTTATGAAATATACCACCTTATAGAAAATGACTATATGCATCCTATTTATATTATTTCATCAAAAGGTTAAGTACTTTAATAAATGTTCTAAATGCAAAAAAAATGTTTCACATGTTTAAAGCATTGAAGAAGAAATATAAAATAAACAATTTATATTATTTTTGTGGTTCAACTACAGTTTTCTTCAATTTTTTAATATTTTAATTTCACATTAAAGTTTTAAGTAAATTTCTATACTAAATATATACTAAATTTTAGTATATATTGAATTAAAAATTGAAAATTTAAGAATTTGTAAATAACCTGAGTATGATAAAATTAATAGAAGAATTTGAAGCGCTAACTGAATTAAAAATTAAAAGTTCTTACTAATATATAATAAAGGCATAATAACAAGAAGACATAATAACAAATTATTCACTTTGTGACAGAAATTTCATAATTGTATAAAAGAAGTTGTTATGTATCTATTTCATTAGAAATTAAATATCATTACATCTTTAATAACCATTAAAACCATCAAAAACATAATCATTAGAGTGACCCAATAATACGAAAAGAATTTAGCTAAGGTGTCCTATGGATTTTGCTAACTAGTATGAGTTTCCAGGCAAAACTTAAAGTATGCTTGATGCTTGCAACAGCTAAAATGAAAAATCCATTTTTTTTCAATCCATAAAGAATTTGTATTTTATAAACAAATATATTATACATGTTTATAATATAAAATTATATCCTGTACATTGTATAGTATTTTTGATATTTCAAACATTATAAATAATACATACATTACAATATTAAAACTCAGTTTATTTAAATAATTTCAGCATTTCTGCATTTTATTTCAAAACGAGTTCCTGTTCAAGCAGACCCAATACAGGAAATAGTGGAGTAATGCTGATGTGCAATAAAAATGCATTTGTTTATTTTTATTCATAATCATAATGACAATGCCCATCAAATCTCCCCCCCCCCCCCCCCGCTACCTATCCTTCCTCTAATCTCTAAGACTCCACACCCCACAATATTTCATAAAAAATGGGAAAAGAAAAAGCTACAAAAGGAGCTGTAAAGCCAATCATTTACAACCCAAGAAGTCTATCTTCTTGAAACTCCACTGAGCTCTCTATCTAACAGGAAATTTCCAAATGATGGTTATTTTATTAAATACTTCTTGTACATTATTTCCTCCAGGGTTAATTCAGGCCAATCTAACTAACTTTGATTGTGCACAAAAGATATCTTCTAGAGATATGAAATGCAAAGGAAATAATGGGTCTTGCAATCCTGTGACAGAAGAATATTGTTTGCTCCAGAGTATTGTAAATATTTGGGCCTCTTGTAGTTTTCAGAACTATGTTGTTTTAAAAGTAAGCATACTAAACAAGTTTTTGAAAATTTGCAAGCAATATAAAGCTGTTTTTAATGAAAAAACCATTCAAATGAAACCAAATGGATCTCAAAAACAACAAGAAAAGTTCCTGATAATTATTGATGAACTGTTTGGCATCAGTTCTCAACAGTTTGAGTATTCCATGCATCAGGATACTTCTATGCCAAGAAACCTAGAGATAAAAAGAAGACCTAGTCTAGAGACAGTTTTCCATGGCTGCATTGATGAAGAGTTAGAGGCCAAGGTAAAAAAAAAAATTATAAAACTAAAACTATTTAAGATTTTTCAAATCTTTAAACATTTTTATATATTAAATACCAAAATTTTTGATTTTGGTTGGTTCTTAATGATACTGGAAAAATAGGCTAAAAAGACCTAAATCAGTGAAGAAGATGAACCTTGAAGATGATAGTTTTGAAAAATGTAAAAGAAAGTCTATGGTATAATTTTTTTAGTATCTTTTTAGTATGTTGGTATAATGTTTTTTAGTATCTTTTAAAAGGAGCTGAGAAGAAATTCAAGATGTTTTATGAAACTGGATATTGGAAGTAATCTTTACAGTTTACATCTAAGAAAATGATTGCTTATTCCCTTGAGCAAAAAGTTTTTACTAGGAATGATAATAATCAACTGGTAAAATACCTTGCATTTTATATGAATATCAATTCACAAAAGCTTGAAAAGTTTAGTTTGTACCAACCAGGTGCTAACCTTAATGCCAGGTTTATGTGTGACAGCATATACATGGTACTTCTGGATATTACTTTTCTTGTTATTAACTTCCTAAGTGATGATCAGAATTAGTCTCTAAGATTAACCTTTTTGTTGCCCTATACTTTGTTCCTTCATTTTTTAAATTGAGCAAAGCTGAACATGCAGTAGTAAATGACCTTGAGGCATACAAAGCTGCTAAAATCATCCAAAACAATTATGATTATGGTGTTGAGAATGCTTTTTTAAAAAAGTCTTCGAAACCTTTAATCGATACTTGGTAGCATTCCCTGAAGTTTGTTACTATGGGGTTGGCTGATCGAGATCCTAACAGATCTATAAAAATATCTTTCATAGGGAAGTTACTTACATTCCCTATACCTAACAAGAAAGATTTAAGCTTAGAGGCTCATGGGAGGATCTCCATCTCAGAGTCTACTAAAATTGAAAACTTAATTACGGAGGAGAGTTGGCTTCTGTTTATTATTACCATACCACTAGTGTTGTCAAAGAATGGTATCAGACTGAAGAAGACTTGCAGGAACTTGCAACTTATAAAACCTTTTTCAGCTTTGTGTGTGGGTTAAGTGTCACTAATGATTGTGTAGAAAGCAATATCATTAGTGACACTTAACAACATGTCTCCAAAAAAATCCCACAGTCTTGTTTAAAAAAAATTGTAATGGATTTTTTAAAATCAGTTTATAATCTTTAATAGAGAATACAATTTCAAAAAACAGTTTAAAATTTAATTTCCTTCATAAATTAAGTTGAAAACAACCCATTATCACTAAAACTCTTTTTTGGAAATAAATCTCAATTTTTACTTGAAGCTGTTCCCAACATATTTACATGAGAGAGACTCTTTCTATTGTGTGTAATCCTTAGTAGAAAAAATATTTTTTTTTTAAATAAGTTTAAAGCAAAAGTCAACCTGGAACTAAACTAAAATAAACGTGGGACTTAAATGAACTTGGAACTTGAATGAATCTGGGACTTAAACCAATCTGGATTCAAATGAACCTGGACTCAAATAAACCTGGACTCAAATAAACCTGGAACTTAAATGAAGCTGGACTTAAATGAAGCTAGACTCAAATGAACCAAGGACTCAAATGAACCTGGAACTCAAATGAAGCAAAAATGTGTAAAAAGAATATTTGCTTTATAAAACATATGAAAAAACTATTATCAAAATAATTTGTAAGTTTTTTATTTTTAAATAAAAATCCATAGCTTTTATGCAATAGTATTTAAAATAATAAATTAATAATAATAAAATAATAATATAATTATAAATTTTGAATATAACATGGATAAAGAAGATTATAAAATGGTTATAAATTTTGAAACTTTTATATAATTTTGCTTCTGAGACCCAGGTTGACATTTTATTTTTTATTTCAATATAAGCAACCCATCAAATGTTCAATGATTTTGTGTTTTGTGTAAAATCAAATGTTTAATTAAATATTTAAGAGTGGAACACCTTAAAAAATTGTTTCTAAAAACAACCTATTTATATTCAACAAAAAAAAAACATCAACCTTCTTTACACAGTAACAGTTGAAGATCTTTCAGTTTTAAATAAAATCGATCATAAGCTTTTTCTTGTACTTCAGATATATTATCAATGTCCTTTTATATTAAATAAAAAAATTAAAAGTTTATTCTGTTAAAAAATTTTTAACCATTTATCAAAAGTTTTAAATTTAATTATATCTTCAAAACATCAAAAAAGAAAATACATACAAACATATATACATACATTTATACATGCATACATTTATACATGCATACATACATACACACATACACATACATACATACATACATACATACATACATACATACATACATACATACATACATACATACATACATACATACATACATACATACATACATACATACATACATACATACATACATACATACATACCAGTGGTGTACAGTCAATTTTTAGATGTTTGAATTTTGACACTTACAGGCATTGTGCAAACTCCAAACATTTGTATATTGATGCTTATGTCAAATGAGAATGTTTTGCAAAGAGTTGCGGTGATTGGAGCTTGGGGACAAAAAAAAACCAAATTTTGGGCCCACCCAGCCCTTAATGTGGGAGCAACATATTTATAAAATATTTTCTTTAGTATCTTTATCTAAGTTCATCATCAATAAACTTCATTCATCAATAACAATATTCATCAGTAAACTTCAAATTTCATGCAATTATCTCTTATATTTCAAAAATTATGACCATATAAAGTTTTAACATTCCTCGATTTGAGGGGGCTGTAAACTTTGTATGGCTATAAGAACTGAACCCAAAGAGATTATTGCATGAAATTTGATATTTGTTGATGAATATAAACTTAGATAAAAATACTAAGAAAATTATTTTATAAACTTGTTGCTCCCATGTTAAGGGCTGGGTGGGCCCAAAACTTGGTTTTTTTTTGTCCCCAAGCTCCAAACACTGCAACTTTTTGCAAAACATTCTTATTTGACATAAGCATGAACATACAAAAGTTTGGAGTTTGCACAATGCCTGTAAGTATCAAAATTCAAACATCTAAAAATCCACTGTACACTACTGCATACATACATACATACATACATACATACATACATACATACATACATACATACATACATAATACATACATACATACATACATACATACATACATTGTATGTATATAACCATTACCTTAACAACCATTTACCTTAACATTCAAATTTCGAATTTGACAAGGATCACTTCTCAAATGAAAACTACCAAAATCAATAATTGCCATATCTTTGCAACTGTAAATAATCATAACACAAATTAATAATTTTTTTTTTACTTTCCTATTTTTATTTATAAAAAAAAAAGAGAATGCAAGATACCCTGTATATGTTCCTTTCTCTGGAATAATTAAATAAGAAGCATCAATATTTATGCTAATATCCAAAATCTATAATTTAAAAGCATTTCTAAAGTCTACAATTTAAAAGTATTTATAATTAGATAAAATGTATTTATCTTAGTCAAACTTGAAAAAAATAAATAAGAAAAATTACATTTCTAACTTCTATTGCATGTAATATACCAGCTGTGCTAGACACTTTAAACTCTTCAAATGTAGAATAAGCCTTGTTTTGTAAACTGGAATTTGTAAAATTATAATAGCATTTAAGATTTAAAATTATATTATAGCAAAGAAAACATTAATTTAAAATTTCCAAGAATTTAAATTTGACTAAAATATGAAGAGAATACCTTTTTTATAACTTTTTAAAATACAATCTTTTAATTTTTTTTATAACTTAAATTTTTAGTATCATATTTTATGTAAATAATTTTTCTATAAGATAGATATTTCATTATCAGATTTATTAAACTACTAAGTTATCTGAAAGAAATATTATATTAAAAAAATATTATATTGATAAAATAAAAAAATATTATATTGATAAAATAAAAAGATATTATATTGATAAAATAAAAAAATATTATATTGATAAAATAAAAAAATATTATATTGATAAAATAAAAAAATATATTGATAAAATAAAAAAATATTATATGTTAATAAAATAAAAAAATATTATATTGCTAAAATAAAAAAATATTTTATTGCTAAAATAAAAAAATATTTTATTGATAAAATAAAAAAATATTAAATTGATAAAACAATTTGTTAATGCTAAAAAAAATGTAAGAGAAAAACTCTAATAGCTTTTCTGATTATTAAAACTCTACACACTTTGTACTTTTGTTATTTTAAATTGTTATTAAAACTCTACACACTTTGTACTTTTGTTATTTTAAATTGTTATTAAAACTCTACACACTTTGTACTTTTGTTATTTTAAATTGTTATTAAAACTCTACACACTTTGTATTTTTGTTATTTTAAATTGTTATTAAAACTTTACACACTTTGTATTTTTGTTATTTTAAATTGTTATTAAAACTCTACACACTTTGTACTTTTGTTATTTTAAATTGTTATTAAAACTCTACACACTTTGTACTTTTGTTATTTTAAATTGTTATTAAAACTCTACACACTTTGTATTTTTGTTATTTTAAATTGTTATTAAAACTCTACACACTTTGTACTTTTGTTATTTTAAATTGTTATTAAAACTTTACACACTTTGTATTTTTTTTCCAAAAATTTTATGTCATATTAATGTTAATTAGAAGAAAAAAGTCTAAAAAAAATATTGTGATAATAAAAAAATATATAAATTATATGTGCATTATTCATAAGATTGTTGCAACAGCCAATGTTGCAATAAATCATTTGTTATATTATATTTTGCATTACTATAGTATATACCAAGAAAATTAATTTTTCTAAAAATAAAATCATAAAATGAGATATTTGCTCAAATTTAGCATTGATATTTTGTGAAAATATTAAAATGTAATCTGCTCTCTAAAATATACGATCAAGATGGTGATGATTTACTCACATATTGCATCTATTATTAGAGACTCAAAATATATAAAAACAAAAGCATATACATACTCTTGTAGTATAACATCTTGAGGAGGTTCAAAGAAAGAAAAAGCTTTGTTTATTGAATTCTAAATTTAAACAAAATGCTAAAAAACAAGAGCAACTGACTTTTTATATTTTTTCATAAAGTTTTTACTAAAATAAATACAGCAAACACAATAACATAAATCTAAAACCAAAACAAATTGATTATTTAGACAAAAAGTTTAACTATTTTTATAACAAGTGCCAGAGAAACTTAGTAATAAACTTACAGCATCATAAATTATTTCAAGCGGTTCACAGTCTAAGGTTAATGATTGATCAATATTTTGATTATCCATTGGATTTGTTTCAAACGTCATAACCACCATATCAGTATCAAGTTCTAAAATAATTATTAACAATATCAGTCATATAAAAAAACAAAATAAAACAAAAAGAAGTTCAAATAACTTACTTTTGGAAATACTTCTTATAATGAGAGGTACATCATTTGAATTAGGGGTACCATTGAGTTTTAGTGATTGCATTTGAACCTCAACTCTATTCATAAGAAACATTTTAAATGCATGTGTGCATTGATGGTATTTTAGTGTGCATATACTTTCAAAAATACATATATATATATATGTATATATTTGTGTATACATATATATATATATATATATATATATATATATATATATATATATATACATGTATTTATATATACACATATATATTTGCAAATATACATGTATATATGCATTTATATATATAAGCATAATATATATTTGCAATTATACATGTATATATGCATTTATATATACAAGCATACATACATACATATATACATATATATATATATAAATATATATATATATATATATATATATATATATATATATATATATATATATATATATATATATATATATATGTGTGCATATATATACACACTTAAAACTATATGAGTACATATATATGTACTTATATGTATACAGAGGTGTGAAAATTATTAGACTCAGGTTTTTTTTAATAAAAATAGTTTTTATATTCTAAAAGGAATTTATTGAACAATTTAAAGTTACATTTATACTTTGTATGCATATTTTTAGCCTTTAGTAACTTGGTAACTATATATAAGCTTGGTGGGTTGCCAACACTGCTATAAACATAAAGGTGGTTAATCAGTTGTTGTAAGGAGAATTTTTACTGTAATTACATTCATCAAAACAAAAGCTGAAAGTGAGTTTAATTAAATCATTATGGTTAACCATTAACATATTAATGTTTATTTAATATAACTTCCATTTTAAAATGTATAATATGTCTGATTACAAATTGTTTAATTTTTTTCTACAGATTTTGAGGTTTAGGGGAGAACAAAAGATCTTTCACCTATAAAAGTTGCTTTTACTAAAACATTGCTCGAAGAAAATATGTATTCATAATGAGAAAGAGCATCAAGACTACAAATTTCACAGAAACTTGTAAGCTGGATTAGCCAGGCTATTAAAAATGGGTAAGATTACAATTCTGCACAACAAGGAAATTGTGGACACAAGTCCAAAGTGAGCCCAAGAACCCAACACAAACTTATCCATATGGCTAAAGTGAATAGAACTAATCAAGACTTAAAAAAGTCCTTTGAGAAGTATGGCCTTGATATTTGCAGTTTTATGATTAAGAGAAGGCTTATTAATGCAGGTCTTCCAGCACGTCAGACAAGAAAAAAAGCCAAAATAACAATAGCAATGGCTAAAAAAAGGGTTAACTGGGCCCATGAGGTTAAATCTCGCTTTGGAAGTGATTGGAGTAAGGTGAGTAATTTAAACATTTCAATAGTTTTTCTTACACATGCTTTTTTAAACAAAAATTTCTACCCTAACACCAACCAACCCATGTTCCTTTTCTTTAACACTTAACCGTCAGTTTTCAAGATCTTTTCATTACTCATCTGCCAATTCAGGTCAATACTCAGCTGTGTTATTGCAGTTTGTTATATTATCTCATTACAGGTCTGCTTCTCTGATGAAACCATGTTTTCAATATGTGATGAAAGTAATCAATATGTGAGGAGATCTTCAAACAAAGAGTTTTCTGAGACTTATGTTGCTCAGATTGTGAAGCATCCTACCACAGTTATGGTGTGGAGTATCATCTCAGTCAAAGGCACAGGGCGTTTATATATTGTTGAAGGCACAAGGAATCAGCACCAGTATAAGAAAATATTTGGAAACAAGACTGCTGCTCCAATTGAGAGACTGGATTCCTGATGGAGGCTGTGTTTTGATACATAATGGTGCACCATGCCATAAAGCCAAGTCAGTGACTAAGTTTTTAACAGAAAACCATGTATAAGAATTGCCATGGCCAGTGAACAGCAAAGATATGAACTCCATAGAGAATTTATGGGCAGTTGTTAAGAAGGGGCTAAAGAAAACCAGCATTACCACAAAAGTTGAATTATTTGAACAACTTATCAAAGTATAGCACCATGATGAGATAATAAAAAATAAATGACTAGTTCTTGTAGAAAGCGTGCCAAAGGGTATAGAAATATTACTTAAGGCTAAAGGCATGCATACAAATTATTAATGTAACTTTAAATTGTTCAATAAATTCCTTTTAGAATATATAAACTATTTTTATTAAAAAAAACCTAGTTAAATCTAACAATTTTCACACCTCTGTATATGTATATATGTGTGCATGTATATATATATATATATATATATATATATATATATATATATATATATATATATATATATATATATATATATATATTGTTTTGGTGTGGTATATATATATGTATATTATGTAAAACAATATATATATATATATTGTTTGGCATGTATATATATATATTTATGTATATATATACATATATATATATATATGTATATATACATACATATATATATATATATATATATATATATATATATATATATATATATATATATATATATATATATATATATATATATGTATATATTTATGTATTTATATATACATATCAGTGGTGTACACTAGATTTTTAGATGTTTGAGTTTTGATACTTACAGGCATTGAGCAAACTCCAAACTTTTATATGTTCATGCTTATGTTAAATGAGAATGTTTTGCAAAGAGTTATGGTGATTGGAGCTTAGGGACAAAAAAAACCCAATTTTTGGGCCCACCCAGTCCTTAACGCGGGAGCAAGAAGATGATAAAATAATTTCTTTAGCATTTTTATCTAAGTTTATATTCACCAGCAAATTTCAAATTTCATGCAATAACCTCTTGGTGTTTAGTTTTTATGACCCTACAAAGTTTACCACCCCCTCAAATTGAAGGGAGTTAAAACTTTATATGGTCATAATTTTCGAAAAATAAGAGATTATTGCATGAAATTTAAAATTTATGATGAATATAAACTTAGATAAAAATACTAAAGAAATTATTTTATCAACTTGTTGCTCCCGCATTAAGGGCTGGGTGGGCCCAAAAATTGGGTTTTTTTTGTCCCTAAGCTCCAATCACCATAACTCTTTGCAAAACATTCTCATTTAACATAAGCATGAACATATAAAAGTTTGGAGTTTGCTCAATGCCTGTAAGTATCAAAACTCAAACATCTAAAAATCTAGTGTACACCACTGATATGTATATATTTTATATACATATCAGTGGTATCACATATATTTGAAATCCTTTATTCTTTTCATTTTTTTTTTTTTTTTTTTAAAAAATGAAAATATAAAAGATTTCAAAAATTATATTAAATATTTCCTAATAGTAGTATGCAGTAGCAAATTTTCAGTTTATTCAAGCTTTTAATTATTTATTTTTTTATTATAGCTTTTAATTACTTTTTTTTATTTTTCTAATCATTAAAATCTTAAAAAAATTTATTTCTTGAGAAGTTTAATATTGTCTTAAAAAACTTAAAATTTAAAACTTAACTGAAAACTTAAAATTTAAAACTTAACTGGAATTTATAAGCAAATTTATTCATTTTAATGTATTTAATTTCTGATTTATTTTAAGCATAAAATAATAATTAAAAAAACTAATTTAGAAAAAAGAAAATTTGTAAAAAAAAATTCAACCTTAAAGCATTTGCTGATGGTCTTTGTTTGACGTTACAATGAATTCCATTCAGAAAAAATCTTATAACTTCAATATCCCTTGAAAAAAAAAAATCTTTAATCATAATTTATCAGCAATAAAAAATTTGCACCAAATTTATGCTAGAAATTTATTATACTAAAACTTAAGCATTAAGATAAAGTGTGAAGTTAAGTGGTGTGAAGATAAATGGTGTGAAGATAAGTGGTGTGAAGATAAGTGGTGTAAAGATAAGTGGTGTGAAGATAAGTGGTGTGAAGATAACTGGTGTGAAGATAAGTGGTGTAAGGTAAAGTGGTTTAATGTAAAGTGCTATAACAATGACACATCTTTAGAAAATATATTTTTTCATTAATAAGACAAATTAATTTTGATATGAAATATTTTTACCAATTTTCGCCTTAAAAAGTTTTAAGTTGCCTTGAAAGTGTAATGAAAAATTATTATTGTAAAGATATCAATTCAGTTTTATCTTCTTGAAGATATAAAAAAGAATGCTATTTTATGATTAAAAACTTTTTTACTTAACAATGTCTAAGAATTGCTAAACTATTAAGCTCTAAAATACATTAATGACCTAATATTTGATTTCAATAAATTCTTGCAGCATTGTAATTTTTTGTTGGATTTTTTTGAGGCATTTTGGTGTTTGGTTCAATATTTAAAACAATAAGATAAGTTTTTACATTATCAGGTTCTAATATTATATTCTTACTAGTATTATGCAACATCATTAGGTAAGGATTTTAATTTTCTGCAAGTGTCGCTTTGATATTTATTGACATTTAATGAATTTGTAGATTTTTATTTAAATTTTTGGGTTTAAGTGATTTGGGTTGCTTAGCTTGATTGTGGGTTTGCTTTGCTTGATTTCATTTCATTTAATCGTGAAAGATTTAAACAATAGTCAATGAGAGGTGGATAAAAGCATTTAATCTGGCACCTACATAAAAGTAATCTGACACATCTTAATGTTACCCACATGTCACAGTATTCTTTAGTCAAAAATTTTGAAAACTATTGAATTATTTTCAAAAACTTTTATCAAATAATTTAATGCTAAATGTATATATATATATATAAAATGTATGCTAAATGTTTTGTTGATTGATTCAAGTTGAACAAATGAAATTAGAAATAAATTTATTTTTCATTTATCTGATTTAAAAAAACAATCGATAAATAAAATTTTATTAATAAATATCTTTGATGTTTATTAACATAAAACATTTAAATATTTTTTACATTTTGTAGTATTTCCATTAGGGTGTGTCATACTTTATAATATTTTGAAAAAAAAGTTTTTCCAAAAACATGGTGTATAGAAAACTTGTGTACAACTATTTTAACATTAAAACTAAAAAAAAAAACTGAAACAAATTTATGGTAAGCTACCAGAAAATGTGTTTTAAAATTGCATATTTATGGTTGATTTTTTGTAATTAGCTTTGACCCTAATTTTAGACCCTAACCACAGATACTGTTTTGCCTTTACACATTTTAATACACAAGTAATTGTTTACACCCACTCACGTTGAATTTGATATCAAAACTATATAAAGTTGCTAATTTATAAATTGTCAAACATATAATTTGTATGCTAAATGTTAATAATATAAAAAATTTGAAAAACTAAAAAATTTATGCAAAAAGTTTGCAAATTATTAACTTTGATATTAAATCATGGCAGAGTCAATACCCTCAAGAACTAGAAAAAGAAGCGGATCAAAGCTTTCGAAATATATAGGTTCTGGAACAGATATTCTTGTATCGGAGTTACCAACGCTAAGAGATATTCATAGATATGGTCTGTTTTTGCAAGAAAGAAACAATAAAAACAAAAAAAATTACCCAATAAAATCACTAATGAGTGATGTTTACTCAAAGTTTATAGGTAAATGCCAATGCTTTATTTATATATCCTGTAACACATATTGAACATTATATAACCCTAACATTTGTAAATGAATGGAATGAAGTCAACCTGGTTGCTAGGGGAAAAGCAAGCTTAAAGAATAAAGATAGATTTTTGGAAAAACTTGACAAATTGTTTGATATACTGAATTGTAATTCCCAAATTATTACTTGTCAAGAGGAAAAATGTTTTTCAAAATGTAATGATGAAACCCATATTAACTGTACGTGCCGAAAGAAGAAAAAGATTCCAAAAAAAGAGTTAGTTTTTATACTTAGGCAAAGAGCTAAAATAGGGACTACCGGTCTGCATCAAATTGGATTAGCTGACTTAAAAGAAACAAAAAGCTACATAAAATTGGAGAAAGAAGATTGAAGGAAAAAGTAAGATTTTTTAAATTAGTTATGTTTTTAATTAGTAGTTAGTTAATAAAAGAAATTAATTAAACTATAAAGTTAAATTAGTTTTAATTATATTATAAATATATCTGCCCGTTTCAACTTAAAAATAAAAAATTTAATTAAATTCAAAACGAAACTTTTACATACGACTATTTATATTAAGAAATGACAAATAAAAAATATATTCATAAAACTATTTGTACTTACAGTATTTTACAAAACATAATTAATGAAAATTCAATTACTTTACCCATAGCTAAAGCAAAAAGCATCTGAAGAACTGCAACAAACAATTACCCAGCCAGCAAGTCATATTGGGGCCCAAGTAGGCAGCTTTATGGGGCCCAAATGGGTTGCCGACATCCCACCCAAGAAAAATTGTTGCTGGGCGTGATTTGAAGCCCAAGTGGGCAGCCCATATGGGCTGCATATGTGGGACCCACATTTTTATTTATTAAAATTTTTTATAATATTTTGAATAATTATTTATTTATTTTTAAATTAGATACATATAATTTAATATGTAGTCATAAATATGTCAGGTGAGTCTAGCTTTATAGAAGTAAAACAGGAAATCAAATATAGAAAGAATAAGGTAAACAGTAATAAACATTTATAAATATACCACAGTATTTAAATAATAAAATAGTAAAAGTAAAAGTCTTAAATAAATAAATAAGTAAATTCAAACGTTTTTTTAATTAAATTTAATTAAGACTTCAATATTAAATAGACCTCTTCAAGACGTATCATTTTATTTATATTTTTGCTTGTGAGTTTATAAAAACTCAAATAGTGTATACACTTTCAAAAACTTTTTATACATAAAAATAATAATTTTCAAATACAATTTAAAACTCTTTTACTACTACTAATACATGACATTGATAACACTATTACTGAGTCTTTAAAATGATTTGACTTTAAATAAAAAGAAAATTTTTCGAAAAAAAGTTTATTTGAATTTAATTTAAAATTTGAGAAAAGCTTTGAGACATAATTACATTTAAAAAACATAAAGGGGTTTTCATAAAGTTCGGTATTGTGATTTATACTCCTCCAGCTAATTGCCTAGTAGAGTACCTCATACCATTGCGCGCACGATCGGATGGCATTTAAACTTAGAAAATAAGATGGAATTTAACGCTTTTTTAACTACATATATGGGCCCTAAGTGGGCCTCATGTGGGCTAGCCTTTGAATACAAAATGTTAACTTTTTTAACTACATATATGGGCCCTAAATAGGCCTCATGTGAACTAGCCCTTAAATACAAAATTTTGTAGAGAATGTAGCAAATGCTCAGAGAATATAGAGGAAAGAAAGAATGGTATAGAGTTAATTGTGAAAATCAGAGGTCCTGGTGATGAAAAACTTCAAACTGGTGATAAAAATGTGAAAACTAGAATAACTCCAGAAATAAAACCTGATGCAACAACGCTTATACAGCTAATCGATTGAAATATATCCTATGAGCCTTTTCTTACTTGTGATTTGACAACAGAAGAAGTAAAACAGATAATATTTCAACCTATGATTGTTCCAAGTTAGCCTTGCCATGGACAGTCAATTGAAAGACGAGTTAAACAGGTAACAAAAGCGGCAAGCAATGTTTATTCTCAAGAAAAAAGAGAGGGTTTTATAAGAGGACAAGACTTATCAAGAGAATCAATGTCTTTTAATTGGTCAAAGAAAGATTTGATTTTAATGACAAAAAAAAAAGAAATGTTAATTTTATTTTGTTAAAAAAAAATTATAACAAAAAAAATCTATTTTTATTAAATAAAAAACTAAATGATAAAAAAATGATTATAAGTGGAAACTATTACAAACATTTTAACAATATTAATTTTAAAAAAGTAAAAAAAAAAATACAACCACAAGCAAATTTAAGTGAATACTAACTAAATATCGACTCCTGGTAGCAAAGTCATTTTGGATTTTTAAATCTTTTTTTAGTAAAACTATATATAAACACAAGTTTTTATATCTAAGCTTTTTTTAGTAAAATTATATATAAATACAAGTTTTTAAATCTATGCTTTTTTTAGTAAAATTATATATAAATACAAGTTTTTAGAACACAGGATTTTCAATCTGGAAAAAAAAAAAGTAAAATAATAAAAACATAAATATTATTATAAATTTATTATAAATAATAAAAAAAATTAAAAAAACCCTAATTTCTATATATTTTTATACATTTAGTACATAAAATAATAACAACATAAATGTTAAAGTCATTTGTAAAGTATACTTTTAATAATGTTACTTAATAATTTGTTACTGATTTTTTGTACAATTAGGCATCAGTATAAAACATAATATTAAAAACTACTATTTAGTAAGTTGTTTAAATAATTTAAACTACCCTGGCACTAATTTTGCTGATGCAAAAACTTACATTTTTACTTTAAATATAATTTTAAACATGAATCCACATAGTAAGTTACAGAACTATTTTCATTTTATAGACATTTACCATACATTTAGAGAGGAGACAACGTTTTTTTTTTTTTGTGATTTCAAACATTGTATATTTATACAGTACCAAATTAGAATGATTTTTTTAAGAAAAATTACTGTAATTTGAGGTTAGGAAGAAAAATACTGTATAGATTTTTCCCATTCTTAGACCCCAAATCTAGTGGGTGTGAGGGGAAAAATTGTTTTTAAAAAGTTACTCATAAGATCTATACAATGCTTCCATAGAAAGGTTTTTTTGGTCTTTTAGATGAGTTTG